ATAGAGCTAAAACTGCATTCATTACTAAACAAAATCTATTTGAGTTTAATATTATGTTATTTGACTTAACAAATATATCTGTCACCTTTCAATAACTAATGAATACTGTATTTAGAGAATATATTGATAAGTTTATAATTGTTTATTTGGATGATATAACTATATATTCTTCTATATTTGAACAATATCTTTAACACCTTCAAAAAACTTTGGATAAAATTCACATTGCTGAACTAAAAATAAAACCAGAAAAATGTCATTTTGAAAAAACATTATTATCTTTTATTAATTATATTATTAGAAAGAATAGAATCAAATCTGATCCAGCCAAAATTGAGAAAGTTCAAAGCTTTTTAGTACTCACTAATTTAATCACATTCAGAGATTTTGTTGAACTTGCTTTATATTATCGTTGCTTCATAAAAGATTTTGCCAAAATAGTATTATCTCTTTATTAATTATTTCATAAAGATAAATCTTTTATTTGAACTAATAAATAACAAAAAGCCTTTGAAGAATTAAAACAATACTTAACAATTACACCAATATTGATATATCCAGATTTTGACAAACCCTTCATATTATTCACTGACACTTCTAAAATTGAACTTGGAGCTATTCTATCACAAAAAGATAAGAATAATTTGGAAAGAATAATTGTTTATGCAAGTAGAAGAGTCTCACAAGCTGAAAGCAAATATTCAATAATTGAATTAGAATATTTTGCTATCCATTGAACAATCAAACTTTTTTGTCCATATTTTTACTCTCATACACTATTTTAATTAATAACTGATTATACTGTTTTAACCTGGTTATTCAATAAATCTAATTCACCTAAAAGATTATTTCACTGAATAATGGAACTTAGAGAATATAACTTTTTAAAGTAATCCACAAAAAAGACAGAATTTATTTCAATGTAGATTCACTTTCAAAAATACCACACATATCAGACAACAATAATCATCCAAAATGAATTTGAATAAATATTTTATAATTATCTTGACTTACTCAAATTATCAGACAATCTCTCAATGGATCAAATCTGAAAATTTTTAGCCAAATTCAAACAATATTTCATCAACAAAAATTATCTATATAGAAGAAACAAACTTAATTCAAATCAACTACAACAAGTTATTAAAATTATTGAAGTTGAATTGTTCTATATAATGAATATTTTATTGGACATTTTGGTATTGAAAATACATACTATTGCATATATTAAAAGTATTATTGATCTCAAATATACAAAGATATTAATACTTATATCAAAGCATATAACATATACCAATGCAAAGACAAAATCAAAAAGAATAATAAATTGATATCAATATCAGTAACTCAACCATTTGAGAAATTGGTATAGATCTCATTGAACTGTTTTCATCAATATACAACAATAATCATTATATTATCATTACTATTAATTATTTTACAAAATGAACAAAAGCAAGAATTATATCTGATATTATTGCTATAACTATAGTTCTATTTTTATATGAAGATATTATATATAGACATGAATACCCAAAGGAAATTATTTCTAATAGAGACACAATATTTATTAATAATCTAATTGCAGAACTTCTAGAAAGATATCAAGTAAAATATTGATTCCTAGCACCTTATCATTTACAAACAGAAAAATATCAAGTAAAATATTGATTCCTAGCACCTTATCATTTACAAACAAATAGTTTAGTAGAATGTTTAAATAGAACAATTTGTATAGTACTCATAAAATATATATAACTATACAAACAAGACTGGGATCACTATCTTTCAAATATTTTATTTGCATATAGAACAACGAGACAAGTACTACTCAATTTGAATTATTTTATTTAACAAATAGTTGACAAGCGAATACACCACTTAATATTTAATTAGAATTACCAAATAATCAAAAAGCAACATTAGAAGAACAAATAGTTCAAAGAGCTTGTAAAATTATTGATTAACTAGAAGAAGACTATGAATTAGCTCTACAAAATATTCAAAAAGCGTAATTGAAACAAAATCACCCAAATATTTGAAATTGGAGATAAAGTTCTAATGAAGTGAATGGAAACTCAACATTGGTATCATGACAAATTTGGAGAAAAATAAAAAGAACTATTCTATATTCATGACAAATTTGATAAAGAAACTTACAAATTGCATGCACTTGATGAAAAAACTCACATAATGATGATTATTTGAAGCTCTATGTCGAATTAAACAAATTAGAGCTCATTATAATCATTTGAATTTTTTGCAGTAAAACTCTTAAGTAGAAAAGACTGTCACTATTTGATATTTTGAATCACATATAAAATATTATATGACATAATTATTTATATTTTCTTTTATATATTTTTCTATTTTTTTATTTTTAATTATTTAATTTATCTAATTTACACATAATTTATTAAAAATATCAATTAATTTTTTTTAATATCACATTATTTATTTTATTATAATATTATTAGATCTAAATTTATTCTATTTTAAATTAATATTAATTAATGTAGCACTAATGTTACTCTAATTTTAATTGTATTATTTAGATTAAATTAGTATTACACTTATCATTTCTTGGCATTACACTTCTTCCAAATTTATTTTATAACTGTTTTTAAGTAATATCACTCATTATATAGATCCATATTATATTTACATATATTTAAACAGATGTAATTTAATATAGAATAAGAAGAATCTCAGTAATAATAATAAAAGTATAGAAGTTAACTGATACTTCTAAATAATCTTTTACTTATTATTATTTTTGATTTATTATTTACTTAACTTTAATTTACCCAACTAGTAGAAGTTAACTTTTGTATTTTAATAAATCATCCACACTTTTGGATTATAAAATACTTATCCAACTAGTAAAAGTATTAGAATCTATTTCTTTTTAATACTCTCTCCCAACCATCTAGTATCCAACTCTCTCAAGTACACACAATCACTATTATTACTCTTATATAATTCTTAGTTAATTATTATAATTAGTTAATATTTTGTCTATCAATATAAGAATAATAACAACATGAGAATTAATTAAGATATTATTATGATTTGATTTTTAGAACTCTTTTTAATATTTATTATTAATTATAACTTGTTTTTAATTATAATTATTAATTATATTTTTTATAAAATTAATTTAGGATAAGTTATATAATCTCAAAATTTGTGCACAATAAATATGTTCTCTTCTATTATCAAAATGGATTATTATTACTAATCAATTTTTGTTATCTATTTAGTATGAGAACAGTTTTAAAATAATATAATATTATAATAGTAATATAAATATTGCAAATTTTAAAAATAATTGAAAAATATGAAAATTCTAAAAATATTCACATAATAATAAAATCTTTTAATATTATTTTAATTTTTTATTATTTTACTTTTATATATATTATTTTACTTTTTTATTATTTTACTTTTATATATATTATTTTATTTTTTTATTATTTTAATTTTATATATATTATTTTACTTTTTATTAGTTTACTTTTTCATTATTTTACTTTTTCATTATTTCACTTTTATATATATTATTTCACTTTTTTACTTTTTCATTTTTTTCCTTTTATATTATTTTACTTTTTTATTATTTTACTTATTTAAATTTTTTACTTCTCTATATATTATTTCACTTTATATAGTTAGTTATTTACTTTTATCTATTTAGTTTACTTTTTGTATTTTTAAAAAATATATAAATAAAAGTATTATTTGAATCTTAACTTAATATATTATAACTAAAAATAAAAATCTTTCTTAACTAAAATCTTTTTTTAAATATCTTTTACTTTTTATATTTTTTATATATTTTGTATATAACAAATTATTGATAGCTTTATATTATATTGCATCAAGCAAATTACTATTATTAATTTTGAACTTTAGATTATATTATATCTAATAAATCATTATTATTAAATTATTGAGCTTTATATTTATTATGTTAAACAAATTGCTATATTGAAATTATTAAAATTAAATTTTAAGTATTTGAATTTTTGTTATTTGAATTTTTGATTATTAATGAATATTCTTTATTTATAAAAAAACAAAGTGAAAGAGTCTTTGTTATTACTAATTATATTGTTTTAGCTCTAAAAAGCTTTATGCAAGCACAAAAAATTAGCTTTCAAATTTTTTTATTATTTTTATACACTTTTTTCTCTTTAATCTTTATTTTTTCATAATTCTTCCATATTATTATTCTTTTTAATAAATACAATTTCCATAAAAATTGGTATAAATCTTAGATATCTCTTTTTTTCTTTTAATATTTTTATTAGTTTATTACTTTCTTCCAATTCAGGTTCATGTAAGCTAATTTAATAAACTTGTTATATTGTTTTTGATTTATGATTTACATTTTTTTTTGAACTTATTCAAAATCTGGTTCAAACTTTAATTATTTACAAATTCTTCAAAAACTCAGATTAGCACTTTGAACTTTTTGAATTTACCAAAAAGTTCAGTTCATTCAATTTAAATATTGAATTTTGATTTTTGAATTAAACTTGAATTCCAATAAATATTTAATTTAATTCAATTTATAGAAACACTATATCAAAAATAATGCAATAGCTGTTAAAGTATTTTGAAACCAAAAAAGTCTTTTGGTGATTGTGCTATTTGAAAATAAAAGTTTTAAGAGTGAAATAAAAAGTTTCAAAAACAAAATAATATAAGAAAAAAAATTTAACCAAGAATTAAAACTTAGAGAAAAAATAATATAAAAAAATAATTAACAAATAATAGCTTTTTGATTAAGCTATAATTTGGTTAGATATAAATTTGTGCAATTACAATTCTGGCATTTACAAATATTATATAAAATAAAGAGTTCTGATTGGTCAGATTGATTATTATATACATGTTCAATTCAAAATTGGCAGTATTGGATATCTTATGCTGTCCCCACTATATCTTTTTCTCACCGATAGATTTGAAAAGGTTATAAATCTCCCTTGCCCTTTCTACTCTTTCTCAATTGCATTTGAGAGATCGTTGGGAAGCTGTTTTGCGACTTCTTTTTCTCTAAGCCCTATGATCTCTATAAGCTTTTTTATAGCTGTCAAACCTATCCTCAAGTTCTTTTCCAAATGCATAATAAGCATCTAATAACTTCTTGATTGGTGCTCTCAATTCGTTCTTCAGCCTTAATAATTGCATTGTATAAATCGGTAAAATTACCAGAGTTCGTGATAGTTTTGGTTTGTGAGGCGATCGTACTCGATGACGAACTTGGTGATTCTAACTCCTTGATAAGTTTTTTTTTTAACATGGATGAATGTTTGTCCTTCTTTTCACTAGCCTTAACTTTTCTATTAGATGATTTATCAACTCACTAGTGCATTTACTACGTGAGTGGTGTCTTTACTTTGTAAAGTCTGGACAAATTCAGTATTGGCGCCACTCTCTGCTTCAGCTCAAGAACTATATGTAAATTAGGTTTCATACCCATCTATAGACTTGCGAACAGCAAGTCGTTTTCTGGTTTCTGCATGAAATAATTTCATTTCAAGAGGTTCTCAATAAAGATATAACTTCTTGCCGATTCGTTAAAAAAAGATATCCTTTTATAGAATACTCTATAAATTAAAGGCTGAAAAGGCGTAGGTTGTTAAAAAGAGTCGTAAAAAGATAACGTCCAAAAATGTGTGAGAATGTGAATCGACCCATAAAATGAAAAAATGAACGAATAAGCTGTAGTATCTATAGAAACGATCACCAAGCAGTAGTTATCACGAGTCTGATTTCGTCATTTTCTTGGAAAGTTCCGGCTTTAGCGTTCCTCTTTATTAGGCAAATTCAATTACAGTACTCGAATATCACCATGAAGTCTAATGTACAAAATACTATACATACAAAAATTAAATAATGCTATTCTCAATTTACTAGAAGAACTGAAAGGGATATCAAAATAGTTCAATTATTATCAATACCAATCATTACGGAAAATTCGACACAAATTTAACATTGACCGATGCCCTTCCACACCACCAGAAGCAGCAATAGCTCGTCGATAAATCATAACAGCTTTATGTACATCTCTCGGAGCTTGTTGACCCCGTTCATAGGACATTCCTAGAAATTCCAAAGCAGAGGACCGAAGATAAAGCCCATCGCGATAATCTTGACACTGCTGTTTATCTTTTTGTCGTTGTTGTCCACTAGCACTGATAGCCTTTGAAATCCAATAAAATGCTTTTCGTAAATTTCGTACAGTGCCTCTTCCGTAGTAATAGTAGGTTCCCAAAAAGAAATGTGCATTTGGATTATTCCCCTGCGCAGCTCTCACCAACCACGAAAAACTCGTGCGATTATCACGTAAAATAATCCTATAGAATCGCGCGAGACCCAGTTGCCCATCACGATCGCCAGCCAATGCGGATTTCATAAACCAGTAATGCGAAAGCTTGAGTCTTTGTTTGGTGCCTAGGCCTTGCAGGTAAAAGAATCCAAGCCAATTTTGTGCCTCGCGTTTTCCACGTTTCGCAGCTTGTTCTAAAAAGGAAAACGCGTAACCATATGATTGGAATTCGTTCTGTGGATCGAAAAAACAGAACGCGAGAAGGTATTGCGCGTTAGGTAGACCAGCTTTCGCGGCTTTATGGAGCCATTGTATTGCCTGGTAAATGTTTTGTGGGGTTCCTTGTCCTAATTGGTAGCATTGGCCCACGAGGCTTTGACCGTAAATATCACCATTTTGGGCGGCGGTCAAGTAGATTTGGAATGCGTGCTCGGGGCTAAGAGGTGCCCCGATTCCTTTCTCATTGAGAAAACCAAGAAGAACTAGATTGTGATTATTGGTATTCGACGTTGATGAAGTTGATGAAGATGATGAAGTTGGCGCTTGTTTGCTAGCAGGGATATAGTTATCCGTCATCATATTTTTGAAGA